TACAAACTATGTGCAAGTCTTTTATGGATTATTCGATATCCCATCTCGAAACATCCATCGACTTGGAACTGTATTTAAGATCACGGCTTTCAAGGTATGTTCCATGATCACCATCTCTATGCGCAACCATACCTTATAACCATAAGTGATCTAGGGATTTTATCTTAAGTGCAAATATAAGATAAATGCTTACTCTTAAGATAAAGTAATGCCTTATTTACAATATAATTCCAATAGATCGTATTTACAAGTAGAATACGTCCAATCCGATTGGAACGCTGGGTATACTACTCTAACACTTCGTGCGAGAGTGGTACATCGCATTCTTACTTAAATCCAATGCGCTTTGAGTATCACAATGGATATCGTACCTTTCCTTCTTTATTCCCAATTTTTGAAGAAACCTCTTCAACCAAATCATTTCTTTTCCCGCTTCCGCCAGTGCAATATACTCGGCTTCAGTAGTCGACAAGACAACAGATTTCTGCAATTTAGATTGCCAAGATATAGTTCCTCCTGCAAATGTAAACACAAGCCCTGAAATAGATTTTTCTACTATCCAGGTCACCTGCCATATCCACATCTGTATAACCCTCAAGAATTGGGTTTCCTTTGCCGAAGCTCAAGGATTTATTTGCACTACCTTTTAGGTACCTCAAGATCCATGTCACAGCTTCCCAATGATCTTTCTCAGAATTGGAAAGATACCTGCTAACAACTCCAACCGCGTGAACGATATCTGGTCTAGTACAAACCATGGCATACATCAAACTCCCGACTGCAGAAGAGTATGGAACACCCGCCATTGCTTCTTTTTCTTCTTGACTCGTAGGACAACTTCGTTTGCTCAGTTTGAAGTGATTGGCCAACGGTGTATTGACTGGGTTAACAGTTTTCATATTGAATCTCTCCAGAATCCGATTCACATACCGTTCTTGCGATAACCATAACCTCTTGGATTTTCGGTTTCACATGATCTGCATGCCCAAAATTTGTTTTGCAGGGCCTAGATCCTTCATTTCAAAGGATTTTGCTAATTCCTTCTTCAGACCACCAATCAACTTCATATCCTGTCCCACTATCAACATATCATCTACATATAACAAAAGGATAATGAATTTATCACCTGGAAATTTCTTAACAAACACACAATGATCAGCATTAGTCTTCGTATATCCGACTCGCCATAAACGAGTCAAATTTCTTGTACCACTGTCTTGGAGCTTGTTTCAGTCCATACAAGCTCTTCTTCAATCTGCAAACCATGTGCTCCTTTCCAGTCTTCTCAATCCTTTTGGTTGCTCCATGTAGATTTCTTCATCTAGGTCTCCATGAAGAAATGCAGTCTTCACATCTAGTTGTTCAAGCTCTAGATCCAAGCTAGCTACCAATCCGAGTATTACTCGAATAGAGCTCATCTTTACTACCGGAAAGAATTCTCATCAAAATCTATTCCTCGCTTTTGTCCAAATCCTTTCACGACTAAACGAGCCTTGTACTTCAACAGCTTGTCACCATCTTTCTTAAGCTTGAACACCCATTTATTCTTCAAGGCTTTTCTGCCTTCCGGAAGCTTCACAAGCTCATAAGTTTCATTTTTCACCAGTGAATCCATTTCTTCTTGCATGGTTTTCATTCACTGAGATTTTTCCTTATGAGTCTGTACTTCTTCAAAGCTTTCTGGCTCCCCTTCTTCAGTGATGGTAATATACGTGGAACTAGATCGCTCGATTTGATCTCCTGAGCTGAGGCAGAGCTTCGAGGTCTTCTTGCTCGAAACCTTCACCATTACCATCTTCAATTGTTGGTTCATCATCAACCCTGAGTTCTTCATCACACTCTCCCCCTATTGTGGCATCTTTGGGAGGTTGAACAGGTAAAAGATCCACCTTACCACCTGGTTCTCTAGTTTTTGGTGAAGCAAAATCAGACATAGTTTTTTGCTCATGGAATACTGCATCTCTGCTTCTGACAATTTTCTGTTTTTCTGGATCCCATAACCTGTAGCCAAATTCCTCATCTCCATAGCCCAGAAATATACAAGGAATGACTCTATCATCAAGTTTTCGTCTCTGTTCCTTGCTTACGTGAGCAAAAGCTTTGCATCCGAACACCTTCAAATGAGAGTATTTAACATCATGTCCAGACTATACTCTCTCAGGGATATCAAAGCCCAAAGGAACAGATGGAGATCGGTTGATCAGGTAACACGCTGTTAGAACAGCTTCACCCCAGAATGGCTTAGGCAGCTTAGCCATTCTTAACATACACCTCACTTTCTCCATAATGGTTCTATTGATTCTTTCAGCCACACCATTATGTTAAGGGGTTCCAGGTACAGTCTTCTCATGCCTGATTTCATGATCAGCACAATAATTCTTGGATTCATGGGAAGTATATTCTCCTCCATTATCTGAGCGAAGAAACTTCAAAGGTTTACCAGCTTGTCTCTCCACCATAGCGTGAAACCTTTTGAAGTACTGAAAAACTTCGTCCTTCGTTCTCAAGAAATACACCCACAATTTCTGTGAAGCATCATCAATAAACGTCACGAAATATTTTCTGCCACCGAGACTCTCCTCTTCCATGGGTCCACATACATCAGAATACACCATATCCAACACATTCTCTTTTAGCTTCGAGGTTTTGTTGAAAGACACTCTATGATGCTTCCCAAAGAGATAATAATCACAAGGATTTAGTTTTGAATCTTTGGCAAACGGGATGAGGACTTTCTTGCCAAAATTTGCAATCTTTTTTCACCAATGTGAGCCAGTCTTTTGTGCCACAAGTTTGGCGAAGCATCATCTTCGACTGCATTCAATCCACCCTTGATCAGCTTTACTTGAGTTCTGTACAACGTCGACTCACTGTGCCTCTAGCAGCAAACAATGATCCTTTGGTAAGCCTCCATGTGCCGCTACCAAAATTGTTAGTATACCCTGCTAGATCCAATACATGCACAGAGATCAAATTCAGGCGTAAGTCGGGTACATGTCGCATGTCCTTCAGTGTTATTATGCACCCAATATCAGTCTAAATGCACACACCACTAACACCCACAATATTTGCAATGTTGTTGCTGCCATTCTTTACTCTACCAAAGTCTCTTTCTTTGTATGGAGAAAAGAATTCCTTGTGAGAAGTGGCATGGTAAGATGCGGCTGAGTTAATGACCCATTCAACACATGAATTTGCAACATGGAACTCTTCTTCTTCAACAGAAAGAAACACCACTTCCCCATTGATTACAGAGGTTGTGGTATTTTCATCGTTCTCTGATTTGTTGTTCCTCCGATCTCTGTTCTTCCAGGCTTTATAATTTCTTTTGATATTCCCTTCTTCACAGCAGTGATAACACTTAAATTTTCTTCTGGGTTGAGATTGTGATTTCACTTTGAATTTGTTATTCCGGCCTCTGCTTTTACTTCTCCCCCCAGTTTCTGCGACCAGAGCTTGGGAGCTACTTGCCCCAAAGTCTTTTCTTCTTGTTTCTTCATTAAATATATTGTCTTTGACTTGGGTCAAAGTCAGTTTTCCTTCAGGAGAAGAGTTGCTCAACGAGACCACCAGAGTCTCTCAACTATCCGGTAAAGAACTCAAAAGTAACAGCACCTGCAGTTCTTCATAAAGTTTCATTTCCATGGTAACAAGCTGGTTTACCATGTCTTGAAACTCATTCAAGTATTCTGCAACTATTCTTCCATCCCGATATTTTAAATTTACAAGCTTTCTAATAACGAAAGCTTTATTTTGTGCAGTCTTCCTTTGATACATCTGCTCGATTTTGTTCCACAGAGTATGGACTTTCGACTCTGTGGCAACATGGTGGAATATGCTGATATCCACCCACGGTCTGATTAAACTGACAGCCTTCCTGTGTAATTTTTTCAAGTCGTCATCCTTCACGTCATCTGGTTTGTTATCTCCCTTTTCTACATGATCATATAGATCTTTGTAGAAAAGTATGTCCTCTATTTTTGACTTCTAAATGGAGTAATTTGTTACTGCCAACTTCACCATGTTACCCACGTTCTCCCTCATTAATTTAAACTGGTTGATACAGAGCCCAACTTGAGCTCTGATACCACTTGTTGGGCTCAGATGCGCAAATGTGGAAGGTGTAAATTAAAACACCAATGTGAAATAGTGAATAATAATAATAATCCCAGCAACTCAAGAATGACAAATGAAATCTCTTGCAATCAAACATGAATAATTCTTTTCTGATGTGGAAGATCAAATTAAACTGCGAACACATAGCATACTAAGAATATCCCAAATAAATAAAATATGCAAGAAAGAAGACACCAAGATGTTACGTGGAAAAACCTCCAATGTAGAGGAAAAAACCACGAGACAACCTCCGAAAAATTCGACTATATTCTTAAGATAATTACAATATCTTTTCACACTCCTCTATACTAGAAATGTAAAATATAGTGACCCAGTGAGACCTCACTCCTATTCAAATATTACAAACAAAGAGTAAAAGAGATAATACCCGATTCGGCGTATTTTTCCTACACTCACAGGATTTACTCAAACACTCTATTTTTACTCTCACAAAAAAAATCTAACACTCCAGGAACTGAATATTTTGTTCGTGTTATTTTTCTCTCTTGCTTGGTGTGTCTTTCTCCTCTGCCGAATGCCTCTATTTATAGAGGGGATGGCACTTGAAACCTGCACCATATAGCTGCTTTTGTTGAATTTTTTTTTTTTATTTTTCAATGATGGCAGCACCGCCATCCACTTGCCTTTTATTTTCATTTTTTTTCTTTTTTTTCCACCGAAAGTGTGTTTGGCTGGATCTGACAAGATGAAGGACCCGGCGGCGGCGCTATAAAAAATCGCGTTCTTCGGTGACCTGCCAGAGACCCCGGGCAGGCTGTCCGACGAGGCCGAGGACATGCTCACTAGGAGTTTGATGAAGGACCCGAGAGAGAGGTGGACGACGGCTCAGCTCCTCCAGCACCCGTTCTTTGATTCAATTGAGGAGGAGGAGGAGGAGATTGTGTGTCGGGAAATTAGGGAGCTAACAAGAAAATATCTAGTGGATGGATCAAGGGATTTGGGATTCTCTGGAGGACTCCCATTTTTCTGAAACTCCTGATGAAATCGAATTGTATTCGTATTCCCCGACAGACCGGGTTCGGGCTTTGGTCAGAGGTGATTTTCCGTAAAGCTTGGGGTTCGATTCCTAGGCGAGCCCATAAGAGAACTGCCCCGGTGGACTAGAAGTTGGGCCAAATTCCAGTATATCATATTAACAATCTCCTTCGAAGAGATCATGTCTCTGTTCTTTCTTCCGAAGCGAGCCATTGTCAAGGAATTGATGCACCGAATCTGCTCTTGCAACCTTCCTCGGACTCTGGTCTTCCCCTTCTTTCTATGACCGCCAGCTTTCTGATGGGGAAGATTTCCCCTTTTTCTTTTTTCTTTTTTGTTTTTTGTTAAATGATTTTAATCCACATGGATTTTTTAACATTGTTTTTTTTTTTTTTTATATATTATTTTGTTCCATGTGTCCAAACACTTCGCTATGTATTGTGCCACATCACGGCGGGAATAAAAAATTAGATCCGACTAGGAGCCACGTCAGCTTTTCCGGCAAAAAATGAGTACCGAAATGTCAATTTAGACTAAAATTACCAAAATAAAAATGTTAGTGTACCAAAAGTAAAAAAATAAACAATTCAAAGACGAAAGTGCAACGAGGGTATAGTTAGTGGACGAATAGTGTAATTTTTCTTACAAACGCTCAGCCTCAGAAAATGAGATCTCAACCGAAATGCTTGAAGATGCCAACTAAAAACGACGAACATGCTTGAAGAAACCTAAATTTGACAATGCTAATTTGGTGTTAAAAAATTAATGACATTATTTATAAGGAAGTTAGCATTTTGATCAATTATTGAGATAATATGAAAGGGTGTTTTTATAGATAATTTTTTTTTATTAAGATTTCTAATGAAAAACCAATTATTTTTTTTAACTAATAATTGATTTCAACCTCACTATCCTCAATATTATTAAAATAATTAAATATTATCAATCAATAATTCTTGCACGTCACAACAACTTTAATTTATTATTTATCCCGCATAGTTTTAATTAACATCAAACAAACTTTAAATATTATATTTTACTAATTTAATAATTATATTTTAATTAAATATTATTTTAAGAACTCATGACAGTAGTTTGAATAATTTATCTCCCACTTTTACATCAAATAAACTTTAATAATTATATTTTAATTAAATATTATTTTAAGACAACTCAAAATAATATTCAAATATAACTCAACCAATTTTTTCAAAATTAACTCTGATTAACCAAAACAAACCAATCAAAATCAAAATATTCAATCACAAACTTGGAACCCCTAACTTTTGCATGCACTAGAGGATTATGCTTTGGCCTTGGCCCTTGGGTAAGTCGATGTAAATTGAGTATCCAAAATTTCTTATTGGACAATTTCATTCTACTCAACTATAACGTCTTTAAAGTTTTAGTTCTTTATCCCATATTTCAGAACATTATATAATTGCAATTACTATTACTATCTGATTTCCGTATAATCATGCACGATATGAATATATAACATCAGGAACCAACTATTGTCTCGATGCGCATGTCAAAATATAAGAAACCAACGCATCTTTTTCTGTGCATATGAAAATAATATTATCCATAAGTTAATAATATAACTGATCAACAATGTACCTATCAAATTTTGCTTTATTAAAAGTTCTCAGATATGCGTGGATCGCGTGTACCTATATGCTGGTTAATACATGCGCCGGACTCCACAAAAGTGCGCTGAATGCATGTATGAAACGACGTGCGTACCTGACTAGCCGTAAATTATTTGACAGATTTTTAGAATTCAATTGGGTGTCAAAAGTTTACAGAAAATGCCCATTGTTTATGAGATCATTAAGACCCAATACGCATGGTGGAAAATGTTTGAGAAACTTCCGTCCCTGACGACGCATTCTATTCTTCAAGATCCTACACCTAAAGATTCATCTGAATGTATTGAGAGAACCAATAAGGTTATCAAATCTGGTGGAAAAAAATCAAAATTGGTCCTATAATTTGGCCACTGTCCAAAATCCACCCTGTCATTGACCACTTTCAAATTGGGTCTAATAATTTGACGATTTAATCAATTTTAGTCCTTTTTTATCCATACCCTGGATAAAAACGTGACGTGGCAATTTTTTATCTGACATGGCGTGATTGTGACTTAAGTGGCGAGATTAGGAAATAAAAAAAAAAATTAAAATTAGGTGGAAATAAAAAAAACTGCAAAATTAAAACAAAAAAACTAAATATTAAAACCAAAGAAATAAAAATAAAAAAACGAGCGGTGAACTTCCATTGTGAGGGAGCAAGGCTCGCCGGAGGTCAGTCGTGGAGTAAAGCTCGTGCTCGCCGGAGGGCGGGTCGCGTCGCGCTGGCCAGAGGTCGTGATCGGGCCGCGCTGTGGAGCTCGAGATCGCCGGACTGAAGTGGTGGCTCGCAGAGAAGACCGAAAAATTCATTGCTGGAAAAAATTCATCGGTTCCGGCAACGGTGGACCTCACTAGATGCGGCTCGACAAGAGGAGTTTGGAGGTACCATCGGACTCACGTGGGTCAAAGTGAGTCACTGGAAATTTGCAAAAGAAGGCCGGAAAAATTTTGTAGATCTACAAAGGCCGAAAAATTGGAAGCTTTACCGTCGTAATTTATATGTGAAATTTCGATATGTTGTTGGTTCGGAGAAGAGCTACAGGATGACGCAAAAATTTTTAAAATCTGGCGAGTTTGGCCAGAGGCAGGCGGCGGCACGGGGGAGGGTGGCGGCGGCATAAAAATAAGTTAGAATTATAGGGGCTCATCTTGGAAAATTTAATAAGTTATATGGACTATCTTATAATTTTAATTTTTAATTAATTGCACCTAAGTTCTGTAGTTGCCACTTCACGCCATGTCAGCTAAAAAATTGCTAGGTCATGCCACGTCACGTTTTTATCTAGGGTCCGGATAAAAAAGAACAAAAATTGATTAAATTTTATTGGACCCAGTTTGAATGTGGTCAATGGCGGGGTGAATTTTTTGACAGTGGCCAAATTATAGGACCAATTTTGAATTTTTGCCAAAATCTGGTTGTCATCATCATGTCCTTCGAGACATCAAGTGTTGTGGTTGTCTTGTTGAGCTTTTTGGAAGCGATATCATGTCTTTTGCCACGAGTTTTTCATTTGAGATCGCTTCTCCAAAAGAGTAGCACTCATCACAATATTTATCAACTTGGTAGTGTATGCCGAAATATTCTCATTTTAAAGCATTCTTATTGTCTTAAATTTAGCCGCAAGAAGTAGGGATCTTGTTGGCATAACTGTTAGAGTAGAATACCCGGTGTTCCAATCTGATTGGATCTATTTCTACTTTTAAAGATAATTTATTGGAAATTATATTATTTTGAGGCATAACTTTATCTTATGTATTTGCATTTATCCTATATTTGCACATATGATAAAGTCCTTAGATCATTATTAGCTATGAGGCATGGTTGCGCATATGACAACAATCATGGAACATGTCTTTAAAGCTGTGATCTTAAATAAGTTCCAAGTCGATGGGTGTTTTCGAGAGAGGACATCGAATAACCCTGTAAGACTTGTACATATGATGTATGCTCATCGGATGAGAATGTTGCATTCCATCAACATTAGCGTGTGGACGCAAATGCATATATGTGGGTGCTTGTTGGAGAACAAGTTCACTGAACATGGCCCGATGAAAATTTTTAACTGGAAGTTTTTAACTGTCGAATAAAAATTTTCATGTTGCAATAGTACATGACTGATCCTCTGACTTGAGGCACGATATAGTAATCTTGTACATGTTGTGTTTTACTTTGATTTATCATTTGATTGCTGGACAATCATAAAAGGGATATTTTGGGTACTGTATTAATATGTATGGAAGTTTATCTGTGGCCAACAAAGAATTCGACACTTATGTGGATAAGTGAATTTCCTATGTTTTTCATAGTTTGTGATTCAAAGACCTTGGCCAAGGCAGGATGAATATGGATTATTAAAAGAATCACTAAACTTGAAATGGAATCATAGTTATTAAATCAATTGGGTTTCGACTTATAAATCCTGCCCATGATTTAATCGGGAAATTAGTTGTCGAAAGGATTTTTCATGCACTTGCAATTGAAAAATGTTTACTCGCTAATTCACTTAACACTAGATAATCATGCTACTTGCTAGATGTTCTCATGATTTGTGGGTTCTTGAAATTAAGGAGTTAATTTCAAGAATATAAATTAATTAGATTAATTTAAATTACAAACTAGTTGTAAACCCACTACTAGTGTTAATCGTGAACCTAAAAGGGTCACACCAAATTTTGGATGATGACTTTGAAATTGGTATTTCTAATAGTTGGATTAATTGACAAGACTTAATTAACTAATTTAATTATTTAATTAAATCTAATTTTGGTTAGATGTCAATTAAAGGAATAGTATAAATTAATCAATTAGATTGATTAATTAGGCTTCGGATATTAATTTAGTAATTATTGGAATTACTAAATTAATAGTTGAATTTTAAAGTTGGATTTTAAAAGTTCAAATCCAAATATTAATATGATTATATATTAAAGGGTTAATTGCAAATAAAATCTTAACCTTTTGTCTAATTGCAAATAAAACTCAACTTTTTCAATTTGGTAAAAAAATACCAAACCTTTAATAAGTGTTGCAATTGTGCCTCAATCACCTTCCGCCGCCGCCGGACCGCCACCAACCGCCACCCGCCTCTGGCCAACTTCGCCGAATGTTGAAAATTTTTACATGATCTTGTAGGTCTCCTCCGTGCCGACAACATATCCTAGTTTCACAAAAAAATTCTGACAATAAGGAGATGACCGAAAAAGTCGTCACCGGAAAAAGTTACCGGTTCCGGCGAAGGTGGACGTCACTAGATGCGGCTTTGCTAGAGGAGTTCAACGGTACCTTCGTATTCACGTGGGTCAAAGCGAGTCACCGAGAATTTGCGAAAGAACGCCAAAGAAAATTTGTAGATTTACGAGCTTTGACCGGAAAATTGGAAGCCTTATTGGATATGTTATCGGCACGGAGGAGAGCTACAAGATCATGTAAAAATTTTCAACATTCGGCGAAGTTGGCCAGAGGCGGGTGGCGGTTGGTGGCGGTCCGGCGGCGGCGGAAGGTGATTGAGACACAATTGCAACACTTATTAAAGGTTTGGTATTTTTTTACCAAATTGAAAAAGTTGAATTTTATTTGCAATTAGACAAAAGGTTAAGATTTTATTTGCAATTAACCCTATATTAAAAGCCTACATAAAAGAGGAGATTTTATTTTACATGGGAGATAAAATTTTTACCAAGTAATTTTGAAAGGTAGTTTCATAATTATAGGTAATTATCTTTATCCTTTAATTAAGATTAAAGAATTAAAATGGTTATACATATTTATATATTTATACATGGGTTAAGTTAACAAGTTAATCCATAATTATTTATATATATGTTAAGTTAACAAGTTAATCCATAATTATTTATATATGGATTAAGTTAACAAGTTAGCATATAATAATACATGAGTTAGTCTTGTATTCAGTATGTGAATTGATTCATGAATTCATTCATGAAAATGATAATTCATTCATGAGAAATGAATTAAACTCTCCCATGTTATTTTGAAAAGAACAAGAGTTGTTCTTGGTTATTTTGAGAAATAAAAAATAAAATAAAAATTCTCCTCTTTTATTTGATTCCAAAATACCGATCCAATTTCGGAAATTTCTGCTAGCGAAGAAATTGTTCTCGGAGTCGGAACCAAATGGGTGGACTCGATTAGAGGGAGACACTTGGATCCCTTAAGGAGTAAGAAGACGGTGATAGCCACATAACCGGGAATTGATTTCCTCTTCATCCTCGCTATTTGAAGAAAATTAAAGGTAATTTTCGAAATTCTCTACAAATCAAAATTCGTATTTTTACGTGATTTTAAAAGATGCCGATCATTTTATTCGCTATATGTACTTACGGATTAAATATTTATTTGATAAATGATAATTATATTGTATATTTTCCACTGCGATTTTAATCTGTACAGTATAGCGAACCCAACATTTACAAGGTATCATATGCAGTTGGCAGATATGCACGTGCTGATTAATAGAAACATTTATCGTCTATGCGAACTCATGCGGACTATAATCAGCTTCGTTTTTCTCTCTTTCTTTTCCCGTTCCACTTTAGTCGGAGGATACCATCCGAGAGTATGGATAACCTTTCACTCTCTTCAATAGATTTTATGTAAGACTTCCATATGGTATAGTGTCGAGAATCGGAGGCTGGAATAGTGAATTTTCCGCGAACGCCATGTGTACTTACACCTATAAAATTAAATAACATGCTCTCATACCACTCATTTAAATTTTAGGTACCGAAAATCTAGTTCTCACAAAAATTTCGAATTTAAAAAACAGACTTCAGGTGCCATCGGATGTGTAATGACATATTGCATAGCATCTGAAACGAGAACTAAATAAATCTTTTTACGTAGCGACAATAAATGAATAGGGATAGTAAATTGTAACACACCAGTGATATAACACTCAGTGGATTAAGGCAACTTGCTAAAAATTTTACCAGAACAAATAAACCACAATGTTTTAAAGGTAAATAATTTTTTCTAACCTGTACTATACGTGCTTTTGGAATTTTCAACCTAAAGTATTTTTTGTTATAAAATGCAACCTGAACTACATATACAGTCATTATTTGCACGCTCGACCACATCTTGACCATACACGTGTCTTTTTTTACAGATGATCGGACGGTCAAAAAGTAGTCGAGCGTGCAAATAATTGTATATATGTAGTTCAGGTTGCATTTTACAACAAAAAATACTTTAGGTTGAAAATCCCAAAAGCACGTATACTACAGGTTGGAAAAAATTATTTACCCT